TGAAACAAAAGTGTGTTGCCGATATCTTGATCACCTGTATCACCTGTAGTCCGACTTGTCCTCGCAAACTTAGCCATTCACGCAAGTCGATTTTGAACCATCCATTCCGGTCTTGAGCACGTCGTCTCCATTGTTGGCCGAGCATTTTCACCATCGGATCGGCCCACCTCATTTTAGGGCCTTCCCGGCGATCGCTTGTGATCCAACGGGATCCAATTCATAAGCCTGGAAGTCCATCTGTTGTCTTTAAACGTGCCACATGACCGGCCCAATCTCGTTTACGTTTATACATTTCCTGGACAACATCAACAAGGCCACTTCTTCTTCGCAACTCTGTGTTTGTGATATGTTCACGAAGTGACACTTTGCAAATTCTGCGTTCCATTGACCTCTGCATCACAGCAAATTTCTCTTCGTCTGCTTTAGTGGGCGACCAGCATTCCGCGCCGTACAGCAGCGCAGGTATCACCGTTGAGTGAAACAAAGGCTTCCTTCAGTTTTGTCGTTGGTTTATCGTCTAGCAATACCGTTGAGATTTTGTTGAAGCTAGACCAAGCTGCTTTCCTGCGTCTGCTGTACTCCTCGCTAGTGCCTTCAGTGAAGCTGAGCTGGTGTCCAAGGTACTTATAGCTTTTCACTTCTTCATCGTTTCACCATCTACATTGATCGTTGCTGTAGGACTGAACTGATTGTGCATCCACTTGGTTTTTGATAAGTTCATTTCTTCCAATTTCAGTGGATTTCTTCTGCAGCTGCACAAGTTTCTGTTGGAGCTCAAAAGCATTATGTGCAAAAATAACGCAATCATCGGCAAACAGCAGATGAGTCAGCCGTTCTCCATACCACCCGTCCAATCAAGATCACTGAACAAGGCTTCCAGAGTTAGTGCAAACAATTTCGGCGAGATCGTATCACCTTGTCGAACGCCCTTGCAGATTTTTATTTGGCATGGATCGTTGAAGAGCTTTATTTCTGTAGACAGCCGTTGTTCAGCTCTTCCAAGAGGTCGACATAGGACGAACTAATACCATATCTGCTCATCGCATTCAGTATCGCGTTTGTTTCAACCGAGTCGGAAAGCTTTCTTGTAGTCTACAAATGCCATGCATAGGGGGATCTGAAACTCTCCACATTTTTCGGTGAGCTGGCGTACGACGTGCAAGATGATCGAGTGTGGAGTATGCGCTTCGAAAACCGGCTTGTTCTCGGCTCATGACCATATCCACGTCTCTGACGATGCGATTTAAGATTAGTCTTGTAAAGGTTTTATAGATTTGAGACAGCAAGGTGATAGGGTCTATAGTTATTCATGCTTTCAGGATCGCCTTTCTTCATAAGCAGTATCGTCCTTGATTTTCTTCCACGCTACAGGAACAGGGTGAAACTCGTGTTTAACACGTTGACGACCGTGTGTGTATGATGTCATACCACACTCTTTCGGCCACGTGGGACCGTGTGACATGATGTCATGTCACAGTCTTTTTTAAGCTGGTTTTCAAACATTTTAGGTAACTTATTTACGTGATGTATGCGCCATACTTAGGCATTGTTACAAAAGGCGTGGTCCCTGGAAAGAAGCTTCGGTTGATGGGCTATCGAGTTTTTCTAAAAATGTTTGAATAATGATCAAATCACAGGAATCGCTAAAATGGCCAAAATCGCATAATCGGAGACCTACCACACAAGAAAGATAACAAATACACACTTCCTGAGAAAAAGGAGTTCTCGTGGGACCGTGTGACATGATGTCATGTCACACTCGCGCGGTCAAAATAATGCGCGCGGTCCCACACGCCACAGCGAAAAAAGGCGAGCGCGGTCGTCAAGTTTAGCACGCTCTCGCAGAAGGGATGCCTCCCCCCCCCACCTGAAATCGAGGTCCTTGCACGACCCCCTAAAACAGAGCACACTTAATTAATTAATCAAGAAAATTCCTGCAAATCATATTGTAAATATCTTCTCTTGTCATCTATGATCTTTCCCTCATCGGTGAACACTTTTGTGTATTTGCTGAAATATAAACTCCAGGGAAGAGGCATTAACTTTGTGTGTGACCTCAAAGGCGAGGTTCGTTCAGAAACGCACAGAAATCCTGAAGACACGGGGTTGCGATTCAATCTTATTCCTGCTTGAGTATATCAAAACAGCCGAGTGTATCAATCAACGGCCGATTCAACGGCAGCTGCGGCGCGATTGTCACTGGGTCAGATTTGCTGAAATCCCGAAAAAAACCGTCGAAATCTACACCCTCGATGAAAAGGTTGCATTCCTCCATTTCATAACCTTTTGAACAACAGACAAGTAGGGTAGATAGAGCTAGATTTGCTACTATCAGGCAGCATTGGAATTGCTATGAAAGCCTTCCATTCGAAGAGATATAGTCTCTCAAAATCGTCGAGGGAACGTCGAGGATGCTGAAATTTTCATGCGAGTTTTTGCCACTTAAAAGGCAATATCTCTCTAATTTCGCAAGATCTTGAAAAAACGAAGACAGTTTTGGAAAGCGGAAGGTTTGCGCTTTCTAACAGTATGTTTAGCTTCCTTCTACATTTCTAGTTGAGGAGATATTTGCGTCGAGGATCTATCGAGGATGATTCTCGCCTTCTGCATCATTGCAGGTTCAGAAGGGAGTGATTTTTTGATCCGCAGAGAATCTTCCTTGATAGACAACATCAGCAATAAGAAAAGAGGAGATCGTCATCGTTCGATCTCGTCTCAGTATAGGCCATGCATCCGACCTCCACTCAAGTTGTAGAATCTATTGAAAGGTGTTATACATATGATGATGACCTGTTGACAGAAAGTGTAACACATCTCGTAACTCCTATAACCTAAGGAACAGCTTCATTTGTCCAAGACCTTCTAAAACTATTGTCGTTTTTGCTACAGCGTCCCTAACAACAGTGTCATTCTCAACGAGGTATTAAGGGCGAGGGAGCGAGGCGGCAGATAGAGGAGGTGCCTTTGCAGCGCGTGTGCACATGTGGCCCCTTCCTTGCGGAGATGCACTTTCGTTCCTTTGTACTGCTTTCAAATACCTCCTTCTCATGAAGGTGGAACAATGCAGCGAACGAACCTGCAAGAATATTTTAACTATTTTCACTGCAGTATCTGCTGAAACGCTCTGCCAGCGCTTTAAAGGCGTTAGTCCGCCTGCTTTTAGGTGTTTGGGACGAATGTTGTCGCAGCCAGGGCTTTTCCCAGCCTTTATTTGTTTCACTGCGTTCTCCACTTCTTCCCACATTACTTCTGGGATCGGTTCTTCTGCAACGTTTCGATAGGTTCTTGCAACAACCACCTTTGAGGAGTACAAATCGTTGTAGAACTTTGTACATATCTCGTTCATCCGTGGGCGGTTAGTTGTCCTGACACCTGCGTTGTCCTTGAGAACAGAGGGTATATGCTGTAACGACGAATGTCGTCCCTGATTTCTGGTAAGTTATACAAGGTAAACCATTTTCATCATAAAGCGATCAATAGAAATAAAATTTTTCAGGATGTTTACTTAGTTACATTCTTAGAGATTACGGTAATAATGTTTACTGAAGGAGATTGGAATGCTCTCAAGTTGTTCGAACTGTTCGAACGAAGGGGTCGCATTTTGGTCGGAAGGGGGTCGCAATTTCGAGGACTGCCAGCCACAGGCGCGTGCGTGGCGTATCCGAGGGCAAGAATTGTTTGTGCAGACCGCATTAGATTCGATTATTATGCACAGAGAGACAGTTTTAGGCAAATTACGGTGTTTTCTTGAGGAATAAAGAACAGTTGAATGCATCCCTATGAAAGGTTTGACTTCTCGGGGCTGAAATTAAAGTTCTTCGGGACCTAATTTTTGAGGACGATTCTTCCAGACAACGTAAAACACATAAGAAAGCAGAAATCTCGTAGTCTTCAAAAATGTCTTCGCCCTCCCCAACAAGCTTCTTTGAAGGAAGTTATCATTGCTGAAAGCTCAAAAACTCGCATGTGCTGCTCAAAAACCTATGGGAAAAAATGTTCGAACGTGTGATTTTCTCGGAAAATGAACTTTGAAAAACGGCTTAGTGCTTTGTAGAAAGAGCAAATCCTGTAGTTGCACACCATGAAAAAAGTGCATCTAAGAATTGAAAAAGAAGTGAGTTATGCCCGCTTAAAGCCCAAAAACTCGCGATTTTTTAGAAAAAATTGTTCTCGGCAAAACCCCCCAAAATGTTCGAACGTGTGATTTTCTCGAAAAATGAACTTTGAAAAACGGTTTAGGGCTTGTTAGAAAGAGCAAATCCTGTACTTTCACCCCATGAAAAAGTGCATCACAGAAATGAAAATGAAGTGAGTTATGGTCGCTGAAAGCCCAAAAACTCGCTTTTGCACGAAAAATGTTCGAACGGGACAATTTTTTGAAAAGGGGGACAATCACCAAACTTCGCATACGAAAGATATTGATGGCGCCCAGCGCCCTACCTGCCGCGCTCCAGGCTGACGCCGCAACGCAGACGCTTTCTGTGGTGGCAGAGGCAAGGAGCTAGAGGTGACTGGGTCCGAGTGGCACGTAATCGTCCTTCGAGAGCAGTCCCATTTCTGCTGATCGACCTTACGTGTTATTCCCTTCTGTGGCAGCTTCGCGTATTCAGCTGTTACTTCAGTTATTCAGTGCTGCATATTATTTCTTGGAATCGCCAGATTAGAGGTTAGATCAATAAATATTGTACTTATTTAAGTTGAAGGCGATTCTACGAGTAGCTATAAAATCCGCGTGGCACTTATAGGTAAGAAGATCGAGTATCAATCGCGTTGAAAGTCGCCGCATGCTGCCTGAGTCGGATATCCCTTTCTACAGCTTTCAGACTTGCCCTTCTTTTAGCTGCTTCGCGAAGTTTCTTCTGTCTATAGCCTTCATAGTCGTACTTGATTTTTTGCCCTTATTGCTTTACAGAGTGTCCGGTATTCCTCATTTTGCACTCGTCCTTTGGCCTTCATGCGCGCTCTTTTCTTCTGCACTTCTTCCGTCGATATACGCCGTCGTCTTACAGGTTCTATTGTTATGCTCGATGATGGCTGTCTTGGAATCTCATTCGAAATTGGTCATACATACATACATAATTGGTCAGTACCATACACTTCCGCTCACAGCAGGCAGGTTACCGCTTACCTGGTGTATGTTTTTTACTTCGCAAGATATTGCCCACCTATCCCGCACTTGAATCGGTCTCTCCAGGCGTATCCCCAAGAGTTAGGAAATTTCGTGAATAACATACAGAGCGGCAGATGAAGCGCTTCAAAATCAGTAGGATCATGTTTTGGAATCAGTTGGCCTAAATTTCTCCTTGGGCTGCGTTAGTTAATCGTCCCTGTACTATTCTTCTAATTATCTTTCGGACCACCCAATAGTACAAGACCAGCACTAAATCACTAAAGAACCTCAAGTGCTCAAGACCATTACAACGGTTCTTACGATTTCAGTGACGAAACTTACATTTTCGCCTGTACCTGTTCTTCATTTGTCATATTTTTATCCATGGCTCTTTCGTTTGTCTTTATCTATATATTCTATATATCATATATATCTTCAATGCATAAATGTAAAGTGGCAAAATAATTATTCATCGATACCACTTGGAAAACCAAAGATCACATTTGGTAAGTATGACGTTGTTATACCACAGTTGTAGGGACATCTAAGTTTTATTTTCGCTGTCATACAACTTCATATGTAGCAGATACACATGAGTATTATTAATCATGAATGACTGGGTATAGTATGACAAGACGAGACGATAAACCGTTCAGTAGCCAATTAAGAATTCGTGAAGGATCATCCACACAATACGACAGCAGTTTTTAGAAGCCTTTCGTGGCAGCAGCGTATTCTTTGGTGAACGCCTCTAAGTATGGATAGACGACCTCGTCCAAATATTTCGATTTCTTCAAAAATATTAGCAACACTTGGTGTACGTAAAGATATTGTTGTTCAGTCTAAAAATAGAGATAAATAGAAGAGCATATGAAGGATTGAACACAATTTGTGTAGGTAATTTTTGATTATTGTAAAGCGAAAGTGAGTACAGCACACCTGCACACTATTGTTTCTTTGCTTACGCAGCTCCACAAGGTAGCCACTAATCTCGAGCAGTGGTTCATTCCGGCACAGCAGTTCCAATGCATGTTCTATGAGAACAATTGATCCCGTTCTTCCTATTCCAGCTGAGCAATGTACAATGATGGGTGTTCTAAATTGTTTCTAGTTGTTCGAATAGCCAATCCAAACTTAGTGATTGATGAGTGATTCGTAGTGATTATTGAGCTAGGGAGTGAAGTGAACCGAAACTGAAGAGAAAGCAACAGAAGCCACCGTAAATGCTGAAATTGAGAGTCTAAGCTTCCAGCAAAGCCGAATGTGGTAAATGGATAGATAGAGCGACAACACAGGACAGAACTCGCACGAAAGCAAGCTTCTCAATAGTGGTGAGTGCGGAACGGGGTGGGGTCAATGGTTGCAAGTCCGTAACGAATAGCGCCCTAACGGCGCAGTGTACACAGAAGGTTGCACGACCTCTATTAGTACTAACCCAACATGTTCACTTGCTGCGTGGTTCCTACTAGTAAGCCTATTACCTGAGCTAAGCCTTAGGTGTGCATTTTGATTCAGATGTTCGTTTATCGAAAAACGAATTAATCACGGTCTAACTCACGTAGACTCTCTCAGTTTTCCAAGAAGCAGAACAGGAGCCAGATCGGCCTCGGGCACTCCTCGATCAGGCCAGTCCAGCCAGTGATAGTGATTACAAAGATGAGTTGGTTGACCAGGTATGGTGACTTGGAGTTGGCTGACACGAATCTTCACCTTCGTGTCGATGGTAAACGGAAACTGAAAGTGTTATCGTTGAGGACAGGGAATGGCTACGTTGACCTGAGCTACATTCTGCTGTGATTCCAATAGCAACATTTTCCAATTTTCATGTTGCTAGTGACTGCGGACTTCGGCCGCTAATCTGCCAAGCTCGTCAAATGGCTGGTGCTTGTGGAAGTACGATAAATATTGGCTTCTATTACGTCATCACCGGCATAAGAAGTTATTCAACCGCTAAACCATCCCAATATCCAAAGCATGGTATATGTTTGTGCTGAGGGATAATAAGCAGCCCAAGTAATTATTTAGTTGTATATTATATCTGCACCAGTTTAGCTCCGCACGTAAAGCACGCATTACATGTGGTATTCGTTAGATTGGATAACTCGTAGAGCATTAGGTCAGAAACTAATAGTAAGATGTTTCGGAAGATGCGTCAGATGAGTCCAAAGGCTATTCTCAGAACCATGCAGAATGAAGCTGGTACTTATCATAACCTCGTAAACATTCATCACTGATGTCGAACCCGAATGAATTAGCGGTTTATAGAATTTCTACTTTGAGTTTCGGCGTTGGAGTGAAATATGACTAATCAGTCAGCATTTAACCTAGTTCTGATGGAAATCCGCCACTGGTCCAAGTTCAGATAATTGAGCGGCTCAACTTCTCCTTTGCTTCTTTTGGTGAACGGTTAGGAATGGAACATATTCACGTGCTAAGAACATGGATTAGCTCAACTGAGTGCATACTCAATTATCAGTACAGTAGGCGCACATTCCCTCTTTCTGTCACCTACCACCACCACCTGATATTGATTGTTTGCCAGTGATGACTGCCTAAGTTTGAATTTGCATTCGGACGTCCTTATCATTCCTTATCATTTATTATCAGTTCATACTGCTCACCATCGGTGTCCCCGTCCGATCCCCTATACCACATGTAGAGTCAAAGTTCTACTGTCACCGTGAAGGCCGCAACGAAACTGGTGGTATCCACACTTTGACGCCCTTATCAGTTCTTATCAGTTGCTACCACTTTCTTCACTCACCTTCTTGGTCCCCGCCTCACCCCACATAAAATTCATGAGTGCGAACGTCCTACTGTCAATGCGAAGGGCGTGACAAAACTGACATTCCGATACCCATTATCAGCTCTTATCACTTGCTATCAGTTTATCTCGCTCACCATTTGGGTCCACGTCCGGCCCCACACAATATTCATGAGTGCAAACTCTCCACTGTCAACGCGAACGGCGTAACGAAATTGGTGACATCAACATTTCGACGTCCGTTATCAGCTCCTATCAGTAGTTATCACTTCCCGCCACCCATCATCAGTGTTCACCCCGGCCCCCTATATATCCTAGAAGTTTGAGCGCTCTGGGTCCAAAGGGAACGAAGTTATGAATTTCCGGTCAGGCACAAACACACACACAACCGCTTAGCCGATTATATATGACCAGATTGGTCCCCCGGCAAGCGCCGGAACCTCCCTACCTTGCGTAAGCTTTCCCTTCTCCCTCCTCTCCTTACTCTCCCCTCGTTCCCCTCTGCTCGCCGGCTACCACAGCATCACCTTGTGGAATGACCGAAAGTGTGCTAAGTGCGTGTTTATATAGCCGTTGGGGGTGTTATCACAATCATGCCATTGCAAAACATTGATAGAGCAAGTCGAGCTACCCTTCTGTTAGCGGTTTGGCTCATTTTGCATTCAACTAATCAACACCAACATTCAGATATTAATTTTTATTTTATCACCAGATTGGTCCCCCGGCAAGCGCCGGAACCTCCCTACCTTGCGTAAGCTTTCCCTTCTCCCTCCTCTCCTTACTCTCCCCTCGTTCCCCTCTGCTCGCCGGCTACCACAGCATCACCTTGTGGAATGACCGAAAGTGTGCTAAGTGCGGTGTTTATATAGCCGTTGGAGTGTTATCACAACATCCATTGCAAAACATTGATATCTCAAATCCTGTAGCTACCCGATTTGTTAGCGGTTTGTTTATCCCATGAGCTTCCTTCTCACTCACTTCATTTTGCGGACGGACACACATACATACATACATACATACATCCTTACTATATATATAAACGCTATGTCTGTCTGTTTGTGTGTGTGTGTCACGAAATTCATAGCACGCGTCGCAGCAGTCGTCAGGAGCTGATTTTGGGATATGATATAGGGGGTGGGACGGGAACATATTTGGTGGGGGTCACAAAGTGATAACGACTGATAAGGATCTGATAATTGCGATTCGAGATTTAAGTATTAAAGTATTGATTGGGGGGTGGTAAAAGTCGAAATTCTATCGGGTCACATGCTATCGATCGATATCGATTGAAAATATCGGTTTTTGCGCAGAGGGCTCGAATGAGGTTGGGAATCACGTGTGTTGATTTGGGCCGTGGTAAAAGTCGAAATTCTATCGGGTCACATGCTATCGATCGATATCGATTGAAAATATCGGTTTTTGCGCAGAGGCAGAGGGCTCGAATGAGGTTGGGAATCACGGTGTTGATTGGGGCCGTGGTAAAAGTCGAAATTCTATCGGGTCACATGCTATCGATCGATATCGATTGAAAATATCGGTTTTTGCGCAGAGGGCTCGAATGAGGTTGGGAATCACGGTGTTGATTGGGGCCGTGGTAAAAGTCGAAATTCTATCGGGTCACATGCTATCGATCGATATCGATTAAAATCCCTCTATATATAAAGCAGCTGTTTGGTGTGTCTGTCTTGTTTGTTTGTTTGTTTGTTTGTTTGTTTGTAACCACTGAACTCACGTTACGTAGACCCAAGAAAACAACTTGGGCATGGTCCCGGATGGGTGATAGAAACATTATTGCCTTACCTGGGCTGTGAATGACTGTTTTTTTTTTTCGCTAAAGGATATCGGTAGTGGGCGAGCCGGTCTTCCCTTCCATTGCGGGCTGATGGCTCTATTCCGAAATCTGTAGAAAAACGCTAATAATCCCCGCGTTGTAAAATCCTCGCATTGTGATTAGATTAAGATTAACGAAGTTATTGTGGTAAAAAGTCGAAATTCTATCGGGTCACATGCTATCGATCGATATCGATTGAAAATATCGGTTTTTGCGCAGAGGGCTCGAATGAGGTTGGGAATCACAGTGTTGATTGGGGCCGTGGTAAAAGTCGAAATTCTATCGGGTCACATGCTATCGATCGATATCGATTGAAAATATCGGTTTTTGCGCAGAGGGCTCGAATGAGGTTGGGAATCACGGTGTTGATTGGGGGCCGTGGTAAAAGTCGAAATTCTATCGGGTCACATGCTATCGATCGATATCGATTGAAAATATCGGTTTTTGCGCAGAGGGCTCGAATGAGGTTGGGAATCACAGTGTTGATTTGGGACCGTGGTAAAAGTCGAAATTCTATCGGGTCACATGCTATCGATCGATATCGATTGAAAATATCGGTTTTTGCAGATTTAGGCTCGAACTGAGGTGGAACTACCGGGTCTGATTGGTTGCGTACTCTAAAAGTCGAAGATTCTTATCGGCATCACCCTCCCGCTATCGATGATACTATTGTAAAAAATACCCTCTATGAGTTATCAATAACGACAGGACTGGTTCTGTCTGTCTGTTTGTTTGTTTGCTGTTTGTTTGTTTGTTTGTTTGTTTGTTTGTTTGTTTGTTTGTTTGTTTGTAACCACTGAACTCACGTTACGTAGACCCAAGAAAACAACTTGGGCATGGTCCCGGATGGGGTAGGACTTTGCCTCTGGGGTGTGTACGGTTCGCTAAAATGGATACGGTAGTGGGCGGAGCGGCCCTTATGGGCGGGGCTGGATGGGGCTCATTCCGAAATCTGTAGAAAAAACGCTAAAATCTGCGTTTGTAAAATGCGATTAATGTGAGATTAAGTATTAAAGTATTGATTGGGTGTGGTAAAAGTCGAAATTCTATCGGGTCACATGCTATCGATCGATATCGATTGAAAATATCGGTTTTTGCGCAGAGGGCTCGAATGAGGTTGGGAATCACAGTGTTGATTGGGGCCGTGGTAAAAGTCGAAATTCTATCGGGTCACATGCTATCGATCGATATCGATTGAAAATATCGGTTTTTGCGCAGAGGGCGAATGAGGTTGGGGAATCACGGTGTTGATTTGGGACCGTGAGAAAAGTCGAAATTCTATCGGGTCACATGCTATCGATCGATATCGATTGAAAATAATTTCTGCCCCTTTGTCTGCCAGTAGAGGCTTATACGACTGAGGTTGGAATCACGGTGTTGATTTGGGACCGTGGTAAAAGTCGAAATTCTATCGGGTCACATGCTATCGATCGATATCGATTGAAAATATCGGTTTTTGCGCAGAGGGCTCGAATGAGGTTGGGAATCACGTGTTGATTGGGACCGTGGTAAAAGTCGAAATTCTATCGGGTCACATGCTATCGATCGATATCGATTGAAAATCCCTCTATATATAAAGCAGCAAGCTAGCTGTTTGTTGCTGTTGTTGTTTGTTTGTTTGTTTGTTTGTTTGTAACCACTGAACTCAAGTTACGTAGACCCAAGAAAAACAACTTGGGCATGGTCCCGGATGGGTAGGACTTTGCCCCTGGGGTGTGTACGGTTCGTTAAAAATGGATACGGTAGTGGGCGGAGCCGCCCTTATGGGCGGGGCTGGATGGGGCTCATTCCGAAATCTGTAGAAAAAAAAGTCACTCAAATAATCCTTACGCGATTTGAAATCGACGTCCCCATAATATGAGAGTAGTGAGATATAAGTATTCAAGTATTATTGGGGGGTGTGTTAATAAAGATCGAAGCAATTCTCATCGCCAAGAATACACATGCTATCGATCGATATCGATTGAAAATATCGGTTTTTGCGCAGAGGGCTCGAATGAGGTTGGGAATCACGGTGTTGATTTGGGACCGTGGTAAAAGTCGAAATTCTATCGGGTCACATGCTATCGATCGATATCGATTGAAAATATCGGTTTTTGCGCAGAGGGCTCGAATGAGGTTGGGAATCACAGTGTTGATTGGGGGCCGTGGTAAAAGTCGAAATTCTATCGGGTCACATGCTATCGATCGATATCGATTGAAAATATCGGTTTTTGC